ATTTACATTACGATTCATAACAGTAGCAAAATTACAGTTATGAAGTAGCAACGAAAATAATTTTATTGTTGGGGGTCACCACAACATGAGGAACTGTATTAAAAGGTCGCGGCATTAGGAAGGTTGAGAACCACTGCCCTAGACCAGTGGTCGGCAAACTCATTAGTCAACAGAGCCAAATATCAACAGTACAACGATTGAAATTTCTTTTGAGAGCCAAATTTTTTTAACTTAAACTATATAGGTAGGTACATTGTTATTAACTTAATTAGGGTACTCCTAAGGCTTAGGAAGAGCCACCCTCAAGGGGCCAAAGAGCCGCATGTGGCTCGCGAGCCGCAGTTTGCCGACCACAGCACTGACCTATTAGTATAAAAGGCTGAATGACTCTGAAGATCCTTTAAATTCTAATGTCCAACAAGTATTTTTTTTTTTTGGCTTTTAACTGAAAATTTTATTTCACTTTGTTAAAATTAAATTGACCTCCATTGGGCAAAAGTACGGCTCGATATTGTTCAGAGTGTCAAGGCCCACAGATGGTGACTGAGCAACTCCTTACTACCAGGCGGCCTTAGGATAGTGCCTGGGACTGTTTCTCTCTTTTCCTCATCTGTAAAATGGGGCCACTGGGAGTCACTAATTCCTACAGTTCTCATGAGGATGAAAGCAACTTATCTTACACATGACAAGGCACTCCTCCCCCCAAATATAAACTATTGTCATGAACATCAAGGGCCCCTCCAGTCCTGCCTTTTGATGGGGCAAAACAGGTCACCAACAACGTGATTCCAACAGCTCCTGCAAAGCCCTCTCTTACCCGAACCTCGCCCCAGCAGCCTGAATTCCTCCCTTAGGGATCCTCTGATTTGACTATGACAGAGTCTTGGGGGAAATGTACCACTTTTGTGAAGTTTGAAACCCCCTCCAAGGGCCTTGATCAGACCCAGACTGCCATTAGGAGCCTGGAAATCGGGGCACACCCTTTGCAGCCCTGGCTCTTCTGATCACAGACTGCAAGCTCTGGCCTTCGTTTCTCATGAAAGAGGAAAAGGCTGATAATGTTGCTCCACAGGTGCCAGGATCAAATTAGGAAACGTACCTGTCACGAGCTGCAGTTTGCCGACCACGGCACTAACCTATTAGTATAAAAGGCTGAATGACTCTGAAGATCCTTTAAATTCTAATGTCCAACAAGTATATTTTACAATGTAGTTAATCTCTGGGGATAAAATTAAACAGTGAATATATGTACTTTCCAGGAAATTAATGGATTCATATATTTTGGTAAAATTCCTTGGGAAACAGCTTAAAAATTACACTCCCCATTTCACGATTTATATCACAATATCTGTAAGAAATTATACAATAGATGTTAAGAACGCAGCCTTCCAAATTGAGAAATAATAGCCATTTAGACAGACTTACTGATCTTAGCAAAAGCGTGTTTCAAGTATGTCTCAATGTTCAGGGATGTCCAGGTCAGTGCGGCCAGGCCGGGTTGGAGAGCCTCGTCCACTTTAGCCAAGTGAGGGACCATCAGTGGCTCTATGATGGGAGGCATTTTTGACTTCACTCTCTGATATTCAGCCAGCATCATCTGCAATGAAATGGGGGTCAACTAATCAATATTTCACTTTTAATATCTATTAATATCACTTCTTTTAATCCAAAAAGATGACTTTTACTTAGGTCTGGCTGTAGGACTCCAGCAGCAGCCTGCGGTAGAGTGCCCCAAAGTAAGACTAGAACAGAAGATAAGAAACCACTCCATAAATACACATTCCTAACCTGATAAAACACAACTGAGGAGGCGAGAAAAAGAATTTAAGAGTAATAGTTTCTTACGCCTACCCAGCCCAAAAGGGGAGAAAGGTTTTTAGGCCAGGTGACTTTGCTAAACCAGGTGAAGTCACATTACCAGTGCCTTAGCCTGTGTATCACTAAGCTCATGTAGTCAACTTTGTACGCTGGTACCCCATGCTTCCTGCTCCTCTGGGCACTTCCTATGGACCATACTCATCACCCAAAGTGTCAGGGTCACCAGAGGTCTGCTCAGCCCATTGCCGGAATTGTAAGCCAAGTCCTGATGCAAGATCCAAAGCTTACAAAGAGTCAGGAACCAGTGTTGATATTATCAAGAGTCATAGCTTTAAGTATCATCCATATACCAAAGACAACCAAATATTTTTTTCATTAAATTCACTGGGGTGACATTGGTTAATAAAATTATATACAACCAAATTTATATCTCCAGCCCAGACCTCAATCCTGAAGTCTAGATTCATACATAGCAAGCACCTACTCAATACTTCCACTTGAAAATATAGCAGGCATTTTAAGCTTAACATGTCCAAAACTGAGTCTGTTCTTCTCCAAAACGTTATCTGCCCAAAGCATTCTCCATCTCAACTGATGGCAACTCCATCCATCCAGTTCTCAGGCCAATACTCAGAGTCATCCTCGACTCCGCTCTTTAACTCACACCTACATGCAATCCACCAAGATATCCTGTTTGCTCCATATTCAAAAAGAGATCCTACATGTGACTTGCTTGCCACTGCTACCACCATCATTGACTCTCATCTAAACTATTGTAACAGTCTACCATTGTCTCCCTGCTTCCACTCACGCCCCCTAGAGTCTATGCTCAATTTAGCAGCAAGAGTAATCCTTTCAAAATGTTAAGTTGGATCCTGTCATACCTCTGTTTATATGGCCACGTGGCTTCCCATCTTATTCAGGGCTACAGCTCTTATGTTGGTCTGCAAAGATCTACCCAATCTGGACTCCACTACTTCTCTGATTTCATATCTAATCACTCCTTTCCTCTCTTACCTTCTCCTGCCCTAATGTCTTCCTTAGCCTCAGGGCCTTTGTATCTCCCTCAAATAATTATTCAAATACCATCTTTTCAATTAGGCCTACCCTGACCACCTATTTAAGATCCTAAACTATAACCAAAATTCCCTGCATACTCTTTCTTCTTTGCCCTATTTTTTCCATAGCACCTATCACTTTCCGATAAGATTATATAATTTACATATTTATAATGTTCATTATTTATTTCTGTCTTACTCAACTAGGATATAAGTTCCATAACAACAAGAATTTTGTCTGCTTTGTTTAAGGTGTCTGAAACAGTACCTGCCACACGAGAGATGACAAATCCTATATCTCTAATTAATTAATTAGTTCTCATTAGAAGGAGCAATTGTGATCAGAAACTCATGGATTCTGGTCCTCACTGAAGTTTACCTGTTGTTAATGTTTAACTGTACCAGTAACTTGTAAATTTGTTACCATTTTTAAATAAAAGGTACTTTCTATGATAATGTTAATATCAACAATAATTAATTATAATAAAGTAACTTTAATGCACTGGTTAAATACAATTGTTTTTAAGCTCATATTTTTAATGTGCATATTGGTGTTTTTTTGTCATTAGATCAATGTTTCCCAAAGTGTTTTCCCTGAAATCTGAGCCGCAGAGATTCCATAAGAAAAACTATCTCTGGATGGACAAGTTTGGAAAACACTATATATAATATCTCCCCTCTTGGACAGTCAACTAATATTACCAATTCTGAGAAAACTGCAAGAAGGAAGTAAAAAGCCTAGTAGAATTTATGAATGTTGTTAAAGCCAACATTTCCCAAATGTGCCAAATAATCTTTTTTTAATATAACACTTTTTCACAATTTCTATATAGCCTTTCAATTTCCATAAAAGTCACTTTCAAAAAGCCTAAATTCAAAGGTTCTATTATAGCAACTACTTATACATTTCCTGAAGCTTTTCTCCACTGCCTTCCTTTTTTTCATTGTCCATCACTTATTCTATTTGGGAAGCAGTTCTTACAATCACCTTTCTGTGTCCTACCTTAATCCTTTAATCCCATGAAGTATTACTCATCCATTTTATAAATGAGAAACTAAGGCTTAGGAGGGTAAAGGAATTTGCCCAAAGATAACTGTTTGAATCCAGATCAAATTGGCTTCAGAATCTATACTTGTAGCTACTGGCTCATCTCTTTCTACTTTCAACTGCCTTCCAAGAAATAGATGAAGAATACAAGCTCTCAGCTACTTTGCATATCTGTAGAGGCCTGAAAGCTGAATTAAACATTTAGCACAATAACTCTGTGACACCTTAGATGGTTCCCCTAATCTGCCACTAATCTGCTCTTACCAGCTACTCATGTAGGTAGGAACCTTTAACTCTTTCCACCTTCAAGATACGATAAATGTTAACCAGATGACAATGTACTTGCTCAGATTGTCATTTACAACTGAGGTGGTTTAAAAACATTCTTTGACCCTCCTCTCCTCATGGGTGGGGGTCTATGCCCCTCTCCTTGGATCTGGGTGGGCTTATGGAGCCCAACAGAGGATAACAGAATTGATGCCATGAGACATTGAGGCTGCCCTAAAGACCATAAGGCTTCCTCCTTATTTACTTAACACCTGCTCCTGGAACTCTGAGTTGCCATTTAAGAAATTCTACTACCCTGAGGCCTCCATACTGGAAGTCCACATGTAATTGGTCCAGTCCTTAGTGCCAGCTGAGCGAAGCTTCCAGCCATCCCCACCAAAGAACCAGACAAAAGAATAGGGCCATCTTAGACTTTCAAGACTGAACATCTGCCAGCTGAACTAAATAACCTTAGTGCCACACGGAACAGGAAAATCACCTTGCCAAGCCTTGCTTAAATGCTTTACCCACAAAATCATGAGATATAATGAAATGGTTGTTTTAAGCCACTACATTGTGAGGTCCTTTGCTATATGCAACAGATAACTGAAACAATTCTGTGGACAAAATTATCATCAGTGATATTATATTCGTCACCCAGCGATAAGAATGATGTTTATTGTAAAAGACATCATCATCATCATCATGCCTTTTTTCCTGCTCAAATTTCTCCAATGGCGTTTTGGTGCATTCAAACTTATAACCTTGGTTTGCAAGATCTGTAATGACCTGGCCTTGCCACCTCCACAGCCTCATTCCATGGCACTCTCCCCATCAGTCATTCCACTCCAGTCATCCTGGGCACTTTCTATTCCTCAAGAGTCACACGTCACCATTTTTTCTAAAATGCAAGCTGGAGCTAGCCAGATATCCCGCTTCTGGAAAAGGGCAGCTGCCAGGGATGAAACCTCCAGACCCATCTGTGACATGCACTCTGTTTCTCTAAAAAAGGTCAATATCTGAGGGTCAAAGTTTACAAACAATTCTCCCGTGCCTGGAGCCTTCACCAATAAAGAAGCCTCAAGTCCTATGTGAATTCCTTCAATCTGTGAGAAGAAATCAACATTATTACCATTAGAAAGTTCAATGCATACATAGCATATACAGCACATCCATTCCTGGGAGAGAATCGTTAAGTGTTCTTCCATGGAGCTGAGCTTCTCAAAAAGACAATGGGGTCACTCAGTCTTCTCCTAAGTTCACTTCAGAAAAGGGCCTTCAGGTCCTTGGTCATAATGTTGCACAATCGATTCAACAAAATGCATGGGTCATGATTCTCTCACATCAACATATAAGTGGATACTGCAATTAATGGTGACTTCTCAAACCATTTAGCTTCTTGATACCTTCATTTCTACTCAGTTATTTTTTTTCCTAATAAAAGTATCATAAAAGCCTACTAAACTCAATTTTCAGTTATTTGGAAAAGCAATGAAGACCACTACAGAGGCATCTCTATATTGGCTCAGATACCAAAAGGTGGACCAGGAACATGAGAAACCATTTTTGAGGCCTAAAAAGGCTGAATTTTATCCTCCAAAATACAAAAACAAAAGCAAAAAACAAACAAACAAAAACACCTTTTTGCCAATCTACAAGGGTTGGTAGGGTTTGAAATGTAATTTGATGAACCTAGTATAGCCAAAGAAAACTTAAGACTTTGATTAACACTCATAGTAGTGTTCACTGACACATTAAGAAACTGAATGGAGGAAAAGAAGAAAGAAATCCTAATCAACCAAGTAAAAGAACCAATAAACAGGACCTTCTCCCTTAGGAGTTTGTAACTAAATAAAAATGAGTTTGTTACCTATGATTTTTTTTGAAAATGAATCATTATTTTTCTTCATGGACATATTACACTCTTTGACTGATTACCTAGCTATATTCAACCAAACCTGTCTTATAAAATACCTGCAAACTCGACTTTCTACAAAAATAAAACTGTTCAATGCTAGCAGAGGGTTTCCCATTGATTGGCAATGGAGACATCGTTGAAGAACATAAATGTACAGACTTACTTGTTGAAGCCACGCCCTGTGGTAGAGAACCTCAAACTCCAGGAGTACCTTGGCCACCCTGTTGTAGTTACGGATCACGGGTCTGGCTTCCGCCGTCCGAAGCACGCTGGGGTGCTGCTGGAAAAGCTGCATTGGTTGCTGAATCCTGTGGAAGAGCTGACGGGCCCACAGAATCTTCCCGGCAATGGGAGGCTGGTCTCGGGCCAACGGAGGATCACACTTCTGCTTTGTATACAGCTTTGCAATCATATCAATGTCAGCCCCATAGTTTTTGAGGATGCACCGATATTTGTCATCAATACCAAGATTGGGTATATTCAATCTGATTTTTTTAAAGTGAAACACTTGAATTAATGAGACAATATCTAGCAGTCTCTTTTATTAAGACATTTTAAAACATATGCTAATGAAAAAAATAAGCTATTTGGCTACTTTTTAAAAAATAGTATCAATCCATCATATTGCAATAAAGTGGTTTCTAAAATACAGTGTCAATCTTTAAAATATAGGAAAAACTAGATACATTTTTTGATTACTTGAACATTAAGTAATATAATGATAGGCAGTCACAAGATAGAAAATTGACCTTAGAAAATTGTTCTCAATTTTTTACCTTTCAAATTTCTTTAACATACTTAGAGCTTGATTTGTGTTTCTAATCTTTTCAAATGTAACATCCATGAAGTTCTGCAACTCTTTCTAAAACAGAATAAAGTCTGATTATGAACAATGAATTAGCTTTGGGGAAAGTCCTATTTAGCATCAAGATAAAAGAACTTCCCATTCTCTACAAGCACATGTAATACAGGACAAAATAGAACAGAAAACTTCATACTCACCTGAGCCTGAAAGACAGGTAAAATGCCCAGAAGCCAGAACACGCAGGGGCTACAGAGCCAGAGCAGTCCCAGGAGTTGGCCCGTGGCAGGGTCCAGAGGTACTGGGTCCGATACAGGGCCTGGGTTGGGCACTGGGGCTTTATCAATGTGGGTAGAGAAGTTGTGGGGTCCTAAACTCTCAACAGACCCCTGCAGAAAGCCAAGGCACCTGAAGTGCTGTCCAGCCCATGCAAGGGGGGTTAAATGACTGTCTACAAGTTGGGGAAAGCAGCAGGGGATCTTGCCATCTGGCCAAGGCTGTGAATAGATAAAACAAGCCCTTTGCTTTCTCTATAAAAGAGCCCGATGATGAGTATTTTCTACTTCACAGGACATGGGTCTCTTTCATAACTGCCCACCTACCACTGCACTGCAGAGGCAGCCATAGATGACCCGGTAACAATAAGGCAGGGCCGGATTTGGCCCAAGGGCATGGTTTACAGAGCCCTGTCCTAGAGTGATGGAAATTCCATGCCAGTGCTCACCTAGATGAGGGGTCTGAGTTACACTACGCATGAGATGAGAGAGGTCTAACCCAAGAAATTAACGTAAGAGCTAGTCTGGGATGGCAAAACCATGGGGGCCCAGCAGAAGGAACACAAGGCCACTCCACAGAAACACTTTCACAGCCCAGGCCATGAGACCCCTCCAGGAAAAAAATAAGTATCTCCCAAGAAGATAAGTTCAAAAAGAATGACCTAAATATCTATTTCTTAAAGCCCTTAAATCTATTTTCCAAAAATGAGTTTCATTATGGGTTGTTCTGAGAACCTCACACATCTTATAGGACTGTATAATTTTGTCCAAAAAAATAAAAATAACTACACCTAAAAACAAAGCACATGATTTAGTCTTTGTTCAGTCTCAGATTTAGCACAGAGTTGTCATTAAAAATCTACATTGAGTTAAATAAAAGACAGAAAAATTCATTATTTTTCTATTTCGTTCTTTAAGGGAAAGTTCCAATCAATTCTTTTTTCTCAATTTACCAGAAAGAAGTTTTAAGCCTCTACAATTCTAAAGAGATCAATAATTTATGTAGTGATCAAATTGGGAAGCCAGTTGCATGTGCAGTGAAAATTAGTACCAAGATGAGCTTGACTCTACATAAGTAATTTGCAAGATGACCAGTTGGAAATATCCAGGACCCCACTGGAAAATCTTAACCCTTGAAGAAATGTTGCTATCTGGGAGCAAGCCACAGTGCTCCCTGCACCATTGAACAAAACCCCAAAGCTGAAGAATGGCTAACCCTACTTACACTTTGACTCCAATACTTCTCACTCTTCTACTGAAATTTTCAAGAAAAGTGCAGTTGGCCTACCCAAGGAAATACGCAAATATTTTCACTACATAAAAATCTCTGAGTGTAAATTATGCAGAACTGGAGCACTTGCAATGCCTCCACTCCCTCCAACTTCAGACACCAGCAAATCTTCACTGAGCCCTGTCAATGGAACCTGATTTTCCTTGTTTTTCCACCCTATAACTTCACAAAGACCTACGCTGAGCTCTCTATGAATATCTAAGACCTTGAATTAGTCTTCTTTTTCTCTCTGAGCATTAGGTCTGTTCTGACAGTCTTTTGGAGTCCAGGCAAGGAATTCTCACACTCGTCCTCTTACATGGCCTCCCAGCTCCTACTCAGTTTTCTGTTTACCCTGTTGGTGCCAGCATGAACTCTCAATCTGGACAGGATTCCAGGCTCCAGTTGCTTTGACAGAGGAGTCCTGCACACAACCCTGATCTGAATCACTCACGTACCCACCCCACCCCCCAGGGTTTCATCCTGGAGATGCCACAGTTACCGAGCCTCTCCATTCCTGTCTCCAAAACTAATCCCCTCCCCCTTATCCAGAGTCATGGAAGGGTTGGGATTTTCACCCTGACTTTATAGAGAAAAGGGCTGAATTCATGAATTAATTAAAGGAGAAAGAAAGTGTAGACAGTTAAGAGAAAGAGGGTGGAGAAAGGGTCAAAGAAGTTAAACGGAAAGTAGTTGTCCAACCAAAGGGAGAAATGGACCATTATTGAGATGTAGCATAAGACATTAATAGCATTGAGTTTTTAAAAGGAAAAGATTAAAGAGAATGGGAACTGTCTATAACTAATGCTTAAAATCAGGCTGTAGGACAATTATAAAGTTATATTCTCGGTATTATAAAAAGCAGACACAGGCTTGAAAAGGTCTCCCCATCCCACTCTTTTCCTTCCATTTACTTGGAAAAAATAAACACTGTTTTAGCATCAAGCATCACCTCCTCTCTGAGCCTTCACTCCTCCCAGACAAGCGCAAGTGTGGGGCTGTTTTTTTCCTAGGCTCACATCCTGCCTTGTGGGTTATGGCAATTCTCAAATTCTATATTATGTTTTGTAGGCCTGTCCTCCCTCTAAGTTTCTTTAGGAATTCTCTGGACTTTGATCTTTGCATCCCCAAGGCTTGGTACAATATCAGAATATTATACTTTTAACATATATGTACTTGTGTTTTTATCATAACACATATCTGCCTTCTGTCTGCTGTGAGCTGTGAGAGCAAATCTACTTGACTTATTTCTATATTCATAACCCACAGCATAGAAGCCTAATACATAATTGATATACAGTAAATGCTTGTTTAATTACAATAAATCTAGTTCTTATTAAATCATTACTCAGACTTTAATTCCGCAAACATTCTTTGCTCTCCAGTTATAGGTGCCACCCAACAGGCCCTGGAGACACAAATGGAATGAACATGATTCCTGCCCTCAAGGTGTTCACCATTGACCTGTATTCCACATATAAGCTAAGGAAGTACAGTGGGGCCTTGACTTACGAGTTTAATTTTTTCCGTGACAGAGCTCATAACTCAAATTACTCCTATGTCAAATCACTGTGACGTTCACTGCGCCAACTAGCGGTGGGGTATCTGAAGCTGGCTCGTAACGGGAATTTTTTTGAGCTTGCAACTCAAAGCAAAAAATAAGCCGAGATCTGCAAATAAGGACAGTTTTACTTCTTCTTTTCCAATTTGGATGCCTTTTATTTCTTCTTCTTGTCTAATTGCAATGGCTAATACTTCCAGTACTATGTTGAACAGGAGTGGTGAGAGTGGGCATCCCTGTCTTGTTCCTGTT